TTAAATTAGAATTTAAAAAATAAAGTATAGTTCTTAAGTAATTAGAAGTTATTATTTTAATATAAAAGTCTTTTTTTATAATAATATAATAGTAATTTAATATTAAATAACTCTTTAAAGAATATATTAATATATTATAACTTTTTATATATTTATATATTATTTATTATATTTTAAATAGTATTTAAAAGGTTTTATTTAGTATTTTAATTTATAATAATATAATAATAAAAATAAGATATTAATTAAAGTTTCTTTATATAAGAAAATATAGATTTTATAATATATATATATTATTAAAGTGGAGAGGATAGGTGGCCTAGAAATAGGGGTGGCCTAGAAAGGGGTGGGTAACGTTAACTACTAACTAACGCTTTTACGCTAGGTTGCTAATAACCGCGCAGCTCTGCCTTAGTAACTTGCAGTCGTGTGGAGAGAAGCCAGGCTCAGTTGGAAGCTTACGTGAAGCTAGAATCTAGCTTAAGCTTGAACTTGCCAGGATAGCTATAGACTGTCTTATTAGACCAGCCACCTAGTTATATTGTATAGACATGGTTCTCGTGCGGCCTTAACAGGTTGAGTATTAAGCCCTGGGCGGCAATTTCAAAAGATTTTCTTCAGCGAGTCCCAGACTCTAACTCCACTGTGCAATGGGCGGTTTTTTCCTAGCAACTTTAAAAGTAGTCGTCCTTAGCCTATAAACGGCCTCATAGCTCTTCGACAGGCGGATAAATCGTACTGAAACTATAGAATGTATCTTTAATAATTCTTATTATTTTGGAGACTCTTAACCGATAGAGTTTAGTTTCAGCAGAGTGTAAACGCCATCACCTAACCCACCCCGCAAAGGCCGGGTCGAATAAACCCACTAAATCCACACTGCAGTCAGTTAAAAACCTTAATTTATAGTAGTACATATGATATAGGCTAGATTGCCATGTTGCCGTCGCTTCCGTGTCACCGGCGTAACACTTCTGCTATAAACCCGACACTATATGGATATCTGTTAAGGGAGTGACTCCGGCGCTATTGCTGTACCGAGAGGCCGGACATTTACCGAAAGGCTCCAGCTCCCCAAAACCATATTTATAGTGATAATCACGAGGTCTTAGGCCGAACAAGCCCCGCATTGTCGATTCATTCTGAGAGCTTATGCGCTGATCTCTTGTATTGTTCGGATTACCCGTGGTCTGTCAACAGTCTGGTTACTGTTTTGATGCGACTCTTGAGCTTTTTGGCCCTTCCCCTTCGCGCGATCCCCGCAGATTGGCTTTCTAGCGACGTAACTCTCCGGAAATGTCGCTCGCCTTTTTCGTTCTCACCATGAGGCGCTAGCAACTTGTAGAAAGCTCTCACACTGTTCCTGACTCCGTGACGCCAGACAGCTAAGACAATGTTAGCCGCAGCCGGCAGACGCTTGTGGCTGCCTCTACCTGACAGATTACTAGAACAGACGTTTCTGGCGTATTGTAAATGCAGATATACTCAATTTGTGGTCGAAAGATGTGAGTGGTCTTTTTTCCCTATTCCGAATCGGATAGGTAAGAAGCATGCTCGTTCGTATTGGTGTCGGAAATCGCCCACTGCTGAGCTGCGAGATAGACTAGGCTGAACGACATGCCGTCAATGACACAGTCGCTAGAGCTGCATCCATTTCTTGACGACCTGGAGAAGCGCCGAATTGCCAGATCCCGGAACCCACTCCTACAGGGGTGAACGCTCAGTTGTCAGAGGCGGTACTGGTCCAGGAACGTAGGCCGGTACTACCATGCAGCTTCACGGTTATAGTTTGTTTCCGTTTATTCTCTGACACATTACGCTGGTTCACGCTTAAAAAGATCCCCGCTCATGGGGCGTCGAGAGATGGAGCTACCTTAACACCCTTTCCCATGTCGCGCGGCCATCGCACGACCAGGCGCTACCGGCCCCTTCCCGAGCAGACTTGGCCATCAAAACTCCGCAATGTGCGGGGATAGCGCAGGATTATGCTCGCCGATGCGTTGGGAACCGGTACGAATCCGCTCGAATTGGGACAATGCCCCTCTCGAGAGGCTCTGACGGGGTCATGGAGAGTGCATTTCAATGCGCTCACGAGGCTGTCTATATAAAGACTCTTGCCAGTCCATAAAAGAGAATCTAGTCTCTTAACAGGCTCACAAATCATTCTCGCTTCATTTCAAGGCAGCTGTCTTCATACTCCCCTTGGCTTATACAGCTGTTCAACCCACAACATGCGCGTCGCCCTCATTTCCCTCGTTACGGCGGTGGCAGCCAGCCCGATGGGCAACAACCTTACTTCACCCGAATCAAGATGTATGTTAAACAAAAGATGTCTTCCCAACCACACCGCACTCGTCCGACTAACTCATCCTAGCTGTTGATAATAACTTGATGAACAACCTAAGATTCTATGCTCAACATGGCGCTGCCGCTTACTGCAACGCCGAGGGTCCTTCGCCCGGTAGTTCTGTTGCCTGCAGTGGCGGCGAATGTGACGATGTGATGCGCAATGGTGCTACTATCATCAGCACTTTCCAGGGCAGTAGCACCGGCATTGCTGGTTACGTCTCTGTTGATAAGACCCGCCAGGAAATCGTCTTTGCGGCACGCGGCAGCCATAATGTCCGTAACTTTATTACTGATCTCCTTTTTACGCAACGCGACTGCGATTTTGCCCCTGGCTGTAAGGTGCACAATGGCTTCGCTGAGTCGTGGAACGAGATCTCAGCCGCCGCCACGTCGGCTATCAAGGAGGGCCTAAAGGCAAATCCGGGCTATAGGCTTGTCATCACCGGTCACTCCCTTGGCGGCGCGGTCGCCACGCTCGGCGGTGCCTACCTCCGCCGCTCCGGCTTCCAGAGCGTCATTTACACGTTTGGCACGCCACGCGTGGGTAACGAGGTCTTTGCCTACTTTGCTAACAGCCAGAGGGGCGGGCTGTTCCGTGTAACGCATATCGACGACCCGGTGCCGCGCCTGCCACCTATGATCTTTGGCTACCGCCACAGTGGAACTGAGTACTGGCTGTCTAACGGCGAAGCCTTGCAGACAAAGTATCAGCCTGCTGCCGTTGAGGTCTGCCGTGGTATCGAGAATGTCGCCTGCAACGCTGGCACTTTCGGCTTCGACATCCTTGCCCACTTCCACTACCTTACTGATATTTCTGACTGCGCGCCCGTCGCAAACAAGTGGAAGCGCGACGCCAACCCCTCAGACGAGGAGCTCAAGCAGCGCCTCACCAAATGGAGCCAGCAGGACCAGGCGCTGGTCAATAATTGTTATTATTGTTATACAGTTGACAATACTTACACTCGGCTCTAGGGTTGGGCCTAAGACTATCGCTGCAGCGACGATTGCCGAGATGATGGTATTGAGCGACCGCAATCATTCGACGATGATTGTTTGAAGTATTGCATTACATGATATGTCCCGCACAAAGGTCCGACTCCTTTCCCCGCCGATACGAAAGATCTCAAGCTGGACTATTCGTGATGGCCACAAAGTTACGATTAGTAAGTTAGTTCTTAGCTTATGTCATTGAGTAAAGGATCTGTGTTTGAAAGCTGGGCTATCTTGGTTTGATATACGCATAGCTTCTTTAGGTCACAAGGTGCAATTATGAGTCATTGCGAGACTTGACGTCGATGTCGCAGATTTATCAAGACAAACAACAGCTCAAGGAGCTTGGCAATCGTTTCAAAATCTATTTTTTCACTCATCGTATGCAGCATGTAGCTAGCGTAAGGCAGTGTGGTCAGCGGAGGCTTGACCGATATAAAGACATGGCGTGCTCACCCACCTGGAAACGCGAATTCAGTCTGTCAATGTTCTGTTTCTTCAAAATTTTCCTATTCTAGCTGAGCGAGAGTCTTATCAACTAAAAGTGAAAGAATGGAGCATCGTTTTGATCATTTGATCGAGAGATAAGGCGCTTATTGCTGTTCACATCCTTCGTCAAACTTCCGCTTTGCCCACCCAGCCTGTCAACCACAATGATGACCCTCGAACTTGTTGAGTACGATCCCGCGACTCATTCTTTCTCGTGCGATTGCGAATCCTGTAGCTAGGTAAGTTCCGAATAATCCCAACTTCCCTTCTCCCAAACAGGCCAATCATTACCATCATTACAGAGCTTTTAGCGCGGTGTGCTTACTGCCCACACCAGCGAGACCCCCCCCCTGCATGGTATGCAGCAGTCCCCAAGCATAAACGGAAGATGGCAGACGTGTATGGTGATGAGCTCTAGCCAACAGTCAGCACCTACATGCAGTCAAATTCCCCTCCCCTATGGCATCTCGTGGTCTATCCCTTTCCGTTGAAGAGACTAGGTGATCTGGTCCTGTCTTATTACTGCTGATGAGTGTCAGAATATGCTCGATTTAGATGGAGGAAAACCGGCAGTTATTCTCCAACTTTTGATTTAGATGAGTAGCGCTTCTATGCTTCTTCCCTGCTCGTAAGCCTCGACTTTTAGGAGCAACACTATCCAACTTAAATAACTCACGTAGAGACGGATATTTATGTGTCTGACTAAGCTGTCTCACCGTTTTACTAGACGCAGTAGCGCAATCTGCCGAATCTCTGTACTTGTCTAGCTAATGAATGATTTAGATGACTGAACGTATAGCTTTAGAATTTATTAAGCTAAGTACCTTATAAAATAGTGTTTAGCCTGAGTTTCGTAGGCATCTAGAGTAATATTCTATTATAATAAACTCTTAACCACTTTAATTAATATAAAACAGTATATAATATATATAGTAGTACTCTTAGAAGTAAGAAAAAACTAATATTTCTCTAATCTTATTAGGTTATTATAAGACGTGTATAGCTATTTAGAATGTCTTTATACTAATACTCTATACACTAAGTAGTATTATATAGTATAATTATAAAGTACTTCACTTAGAGGACTCTAGTTATATAATAATCCTTTTTATATTTTTATAAAGATAGAATTATTACTACCTCCTTATAGAGAGCTTAGTAGTAGCTTATTATTATATAGATACTTATATACACTTAATATATATAACGTAGGGGCTCTAATAGGTGCCCTAATAGGACCCTAATAACTTCTTTTATTCTTACGCCCTTATAAGCACTCTATAGTTACTTCTTTAAACTACCCTACTCTTTATCTATAGTACTTTAGTGTATCTATAATAAATATCTACTAAATATAACTATAAGGTTTAAGTAATATTATCTTTCTACTAAGACTTATAATAGTAATTAGCTAATAGACAGTATAGCTAATAAGTAAGCTGTATTCTTAGAAGTAGACCTTAAGCTTCTAATATAGTAGTATATTAAGTTCTTATATTATCTACTTTAACTTCTAGAAGATTATAGTATTATCTTAAGATTTTATTCACTTTACTCTACTTAACTTATTCTATTAAGAATTATTACTTTATAATGCTTCTATTTAAGATTTTCGCTATAGTTAGCTTCACTACTATGGCAAATACTCTACCCGCGCCAGCCGAGGCTTACGACAACGTGAGACTACAGGCGCGAGGTGAATACAATACCCAGGGTTACAATGGGTACAAGTGTGTCACTTAAGCACAACGTGAGTATTTAAAAACTCCATTGCTTAAAAACTTAGATTATATAAAAACTAAAACTCAAAGCTGTAAATTTAGGTTAGACGTTAGTAGTTAAAGTCGCGGGTTTAGACCAAAGGTGGAAGCTGCAGTGAAGTGGCCAAGCCGCTAAGAGGATATTATAAATACGTTTCTTCCAGGCTTACACTAACGTCGGCCACCCACTTCTAAGCCACACCCCCTTTTAAGCCACCTATCGTTAATATAAGGCATAATATAAAAGCTTTATAATAAATATAATTAAAATTTAGAATATATAAAAACTATATTAATTAATAACTAAAAAGCTAGAAAATTAATCTATAGCTAACTTAATAATTAGATATATAATATTACTAGTTAATTATATATTAAGCTACTACTATATATTTTTAACCTTTATAACTTAAAGGAATAATTTATTAGGATCTATAATAACTATTTAACGTTTTTTAGGCCTAATAAGCTTAATTTTAGCTTTAAGCTATTAGATCTAGCCCTCTATAAGCGTTATTCTAGCTTATTAGATATTAAATTACTTCTTAATTTTCTACTATATTAACTATATTATACGCTTATTAGTTAAGCGCTTTAAACTCTCTAAAAATAGGTAGTAAAGCTCTTCTTTATTAATAGGTGTTTTAAATAGTAGAAGGCCTTTATTAGGCGCTCTTATTAGCTATAGAGGCGTTATTTAAGGCGTTATTTTTAGTGCCTTAAGTAGTAGCTTACTTATTAATAGACGTACTATATAGATAGACTATAATCCTAATATTTACTAGTCTAAATAAATATTATTTTCTATTATTCTAGTATCTTTTATAATAGTATAATACTTAAGAAAAATCCTCTTTCTAACTAATAAAGAATTGTTATTATTAGAGTATTTTTTAAGCTTAGTCTTATAGGCTCTTTTAATAATACTAAAGATAGTTATATTAAGAGGCTAAAGGATATAAAAACTATAAGCTAGTAGGAATAGAAAGTATATATTATTATTATAATATTTAAATAAGAATTCGTCTATATAATAGTTACTATAGTTATTAATAATAAGAAGTCTTTATTCCTCTACTCTTATTAGTTTTATCTTAAGGATAAATATTATTTTAAACTAATTAATAATAATAGTATTACTTATTTAGCCCTTTAAAGAAGCCTAGAAATACTAGTCTTTAAAGGCTCTTAATTTATTAAGAAACTACTATTATTAAACATTCTTTCTATTAAAAAGAACTAATAGATTTAGCTTCTTCTTTATAGTTAAGATATACTTAAAGATTATACTCTAAAAGTACTAGTTAGACTATCTCTTTAGGGTAATTCTCTTCTATAATAACCTAAGTACTAGGCTATTCTTTTAAAGCCCTATTATAAGCCCTATTTTATTTATATTATATTAATTATAAAGGGGTATATTAATAATCTATTAAACACTAAGAAGCTTAAAGAAAGTCTAAATTATATAAGTTAAAGTCCTATTTAGATATTAAAAATTAAAGTACTTACCTTTAAGTGTTTTAACCTCTAGGTTATAGTTTAAAAAGCCTTATAACTAGTTAATTCTAATATTATAATTATTACTATTAGCTTAATAGAGACTTAAAGTAATCTTCTAGACCTACTAGTAAGTAGGGGGGTGTTATAAACGCTGCAAGGCATGCAGGCGGGGCTGAATGAGGCAGGACAAAGG